GAGTGGCAGAGGAGTTTCGGAAGTTATGTGGGGACAAAAGGGGAATTTGATGTCAAATAGCCATTGGGTCCTTTTCGTACTTCTATGTTTTATTCAATTTAGTCTTTTTTCTTTTTTCCATTTCTTGGAAATTGAACTAAGGTAGAATAGTAAATGTTTCTTTTTCGTGGTCACGATAATCGAGTATTTGCTAACGAGGAAAGCGAGGCTCGCCACGTGTCCCCGGGTCGGGTGCTTCATATTTTGCATTTTCATGTACTTGTGTTTGGTTGGCTGTTTTATTCTTCTTTATTAAGTTTAGATTTGTCACTTCCCGAATTTGATTGTCGCAGGAAATAAGTTTATTAAGTCATGTTTTGTTAGGTATTTTTGGTTAGTGAAGTCTGTATTTTGTATTTTTCTAAATTAGTTTTATTAAATTTGTGTACTGAGTTTTATTTTTTTTAAATATAATTTATAAACTTTTAAGTTATATATAAATTATTTGACTTTATTTTAAATAATTCGATTTTCTTTATGAAAATTAAGAAATACTATTTTAAGAATATATAAAAATACTTTTAATATATTTGTCGTTTCAATTGTTTTACCATGATTCAGTTTTAAAATAAATAATCAATTATCCATGACAATATTTTTGAAGTATTTGTCGAAGTTTAAATAAGAATATATAAACTCATTAGACATCAATTTTGATGTAGAAAATATGTCATCAACAATTTATCTAATTTTTCTCTATTTACTAGAGATAATATTTTCAAATTGCTGTTTTAGAAACTTATTTACCTAAATGTCTAAATTTTTATAATTTTACCCTTTTAGTTTTCTGCAAGTAGGATTTTAATTTAATTCCGTGCATTTTCATTTATTATAGTTTTTTGCATTTTTGAAATATAAAATAGTTATTTCCATAAATTAATATCACACTCCTTTAATTAATGTGGGCCCATGTTAATTTTCAATTCAAGTCCTTTAATTCACTCCTTCAAATTCATTCATTTTCTTTATTTTCCAATATTATTAATTAAAAATATCCAAATCTCAAATCCTTTTAATTCACTCCTTCAATTTATTTACCAATATTATTAATTAAAAATATTCAAATATCAGGATCCTCATTTCTTACCATTATTGCTACATAATACTAGAGATATAAATGATACATAAAACAATGGAATTAGAGATATAATATACGAGTATATAGTTCTGATTTTTCTAGTTCTCTGGGTCTATTTTCGTAGGACATATATTATATCTCTAGTTTTATGTATTGTTCTATTTCTTCCGATTTCTTTCAATTTCTCGATATTGTTCTATTTTTGTAGAATATATATTATATTTCTAGTTAAATGATACATAAAACAATAGAATCATAGAGCAAGAGATGAACCTCGATTCTGCCCAAAATTGAAACCTAGCATAAACCACGGTATAATGGGAATCGACGGACTGAAATGCTCATGTGACGGAGGTCAGAGATGAAATTAGATGTTATTGTATAATGGAGCCGCCAAAGGCGAAGGGAGACAACGACGATGTTACCGTATAATGGTAACCAATGGAATGAGATGCGACGGAGGCCGGCGGTGAAATGTTCTGCAAACAAAGAAATCGGAGCCGCCAGAGACAGCGACGATGTCGGAGAATGATCAGATGCTTCAGAGGAAGAAGAAGCCCGACAGTCGGAGCAGTGAAAGAAAATTGATATATTTTAATAATGATTTACCAATTTCATATTTTAATAATGATTTATATTGAGATAGGTAGATTAGTAATTTTTGTTATTGGTACCATTTAATTTGGGAATTATTTTAAACAAAAGTGTAAATTCTATATTTTTCCATCATTTTACGTAATTAGGACTATGTACTAATCCCTATTTACTATCTTAGGTAAATTTGATTACTTAATTATCATCAACATTACTATTAAATTTCACTCATTTTTATTTAAAAATTACATTTTATTACAAAGTGAAAATCTTTTAAATAATACTTATTTAAACCTATTAACTTCATAAGTTAAAAAGAAAATACAAAATTAAAATAAATAATTGTACAAAATTATAACGTCTTTTATAAATGTAATAGTGATAACAAAAAGTAAATAAAAACGGTAGAAACAAAATTAACAATTATATTAAATGAAAACAAAAAGTTAGAAATAGATAAAAAAAACAAAAAAAAACTCGGATCATTTGGAAAAAAAACTAGAGAAAAAAATTATTGAGTTAAGTTTTTAATCTAAATTTATGAATTAATTGCAAGATTAAATAAGTAATTTATTATGATCGATCAATCTTAACAAATTAAATATTGCAAGGTTACCAAATTAACCAACCTTTGCAATATTATACAAGAAATTGGCAGATATAATTAAACATTGGAAGGTTAAAGATTTAACCAATAATAMTTAATTATTTAAAATAAAGAATACTTAGATCTTTGTGAGGATCTATCCTGACAAAATAGAGAAATGTGGAAGTATATAATATTTTAAAAATATAAACATCTATCAATTTTTTAAGAGTTGTCAAGATAGAGATATGATGACCTAAGTATTTTATTCTTGCGATTTTTAAAAATACATTTTTTGTCTTTAAATTTTATTTTTATTTTGTTTAAAACAAAGTAATAGTTTAGTCACTAATCTTTAGATGATAGTTTTAAAAGATGCATGAAATTAAACTGTATTACTAAAGCTGACATAATATTAATATGATATTAATGAGTTTAATATTTATTAATTTAAAAATGTTTTATAATTAGGGGTATTTTTTCACCACCTTTGGAGAGTGTGCTTTACCCATTTTACTTTTGGTCCGGAGATTTTTATGAATCATTCAATATGCCCAAAAAATTTTTTAGCTCTCCCGTATTGCTTGAATCCCGAGCAATTGTTCTTTCAACTTGTCCAAATTTTGGGAGTGTTGCATGAATCTCGGTGAGTTTGCATGAATCTCTGGCTAGATTCAAACTTGATATTTAACTATTTAATTTAAATTAACCCAAATTAAAAAAATATAGGGGTCCGAGAACTAGATTTATGCCAATTTTAATTTCAACGAATCTAAATAAAAAAAACATATGAATATTAAAGTTGTGTCCCAGTTCCTTTTCAAATCAAAAGAAAGTGACGAAAATCTAAACCGAAAAATAGGAGAAGAAAAAGACAATCGAAAAATATAGACAAAGAAAATGAGAATGTGCATAATAATCCTGGAAAATACTAGCCAATTTTTCCCTTTTTAGAGAGGGAGATACAACAAAAAAAATTATTTGAAAAATAAATTTAATTAGATAATTTGGTGAAAGTATTTAATGGTGGTAACTTCGTCCCGGTGAGCAAAACATTTTCCATTTTTTAATTAGAGAAAAAAAAAGAAAAACATGGTCTTCCCTCGTGAAAAGTACAGGTATTTTTGGCTAGCAAATACTCAAAGTCAGTATTACTATAAAAAGTAAAAACGGCAGAAATATTACTTATTCAATCGCCAATAAATGGAAAAAAGACAAAAGCAAAAAGAAAAAGAACAAAATCGTACATGAAAAATACCAAAACGACCCACATACAACAAGGGTAGCGATCAAAATAGTACATTAAAAAAGAACAAAATAGTACATAAAAAGAATACCAAAACGACCCACACCACACGACAACAAGGGTAGCGATCAAAAGTTTCCCTTTTTGTCCTCACAAAGCTTCCGAAACTCATCCGCCACTCCATCGATAATTTCCCTCTCTCTCAACGTCAACGCTTCACCAATCTCTCTC